ACAACAACAACAACAACGAAAGAAACAAGAACAACACGATTATTTTGTATTTATAGGAAAAGCCAGGAAATTTGTCATTCTCAAACATGGATATTCCTAAACAAGCCATGAAACTGGGACGGTCCCTCGCTGAAGAAATAAACCGAACACTGGAAAGCGGTGACCCTAATGTTACTGCCACTGCGGTTATTATTACAGAAGGAATGGGTGAGCCAACTGAATTTTGTATTTTGATTAAAAGATATACGTTAGGAATTACCACGAGACGGGCAAAACAAGTATTTTCACTGTTAATAATAAATGTACTTAACGAAGACAGAAAGAAATTTGAATGTTGATGTTTGTTAGCCAAGGAGTCCTAATTAAGTTTAGTATGACAGAGTATAGTACGTTTTTATATCTTGATCACTCTGTCTCAGATGTTGAGGTGCATACTTGGCATGGTGCCTCGGGCGCTTTTTGGATGCTCCCCTCTCNACTTCCAAGAAACAAACAAACAAAATACTACAAATCCTACATGTTTGTTTCTTCCTTGGTTTTAAGCTAAGCACTTGCTTCCTTTAAATTTATTTTATATTGCAAATATATGATTTCAACTTAACATCTCATCATCCATTCGTCTCGCATTATGGGGCACACCTTTAAGGCGGAGTGTCTTTCGTTTAACACATGCAGAATTAATTGAGTAAACTTCAGTATCTTGCTATTACGTAGATTGCAAGAAGTAGATGTAACAAGCTCTTTTTGTTTTTGTGCATCACCAGGGTAAGCGGAAGTATAAAAGCAGACTAATTTCTCTAACTGTTTTGACTTTTTGTCCTACCCTCTATCAAGCCACATTCCAGATTCAGACATATCCGAGCTGTACGTTGTTGGTGACAAGCTCGAGACTCGTAAGAAGGTTCCCAAGAAGCGAATCAACAGCAACTTGTTAGCAGTGGAATTTGTTACAAACACAGGACTCCAATTGAAAGGACCACTGACCCACCCAGCAGTGATCACTCTGAAACACCTTCATGTAAGCTGTAACAAATGTAGACTTACTACTCAAGATTCTGATTTAGACTAAGTTAGACGCTCTCTGTTCTCGAAAGAAAAGCATCACTTGTGAGACGATGGCAGCGGGAGAAATAGAAAAAAAACTACAATATCATGTGTTAACAAAGACGAAATTGCCAGTTACATACCGCCAGGGAAAGGACTGGAAACCAGGACAACAAGGGAACGGAAGCGAAAATTCAGATACTCACTCTCATCCCACCGGAAACTAAATCAATGAGAAACGTAAATGAGCTCTTGACTGAACATGATCACTATTTTTATGTTGGTGAATGGCGTTTTATTTTTTCCTTTTTTTTTTCAGGCGGACCAAGACCATTTTGATCCAGCTTGTGGCTACTGGGACGAAAGGTGAATTTTTCAAAAGTTGAGATGATTTCAGGATTCAAGATCATCATTGATATTAGTAATTTTACGCACCTGCGTTGCCTTAACTAACGACCCGTCATCCATACGAATTTATTCATTCTTTTTAATTCTCTTTTTCGTTCTCAGCATGTGGGCCAAAGACGGATGTAAAGTCGATGAAACTAGCGTGTCAGAAACTGTCTCTAAATGCACACATTTTTCAACTTTTGCAGTGATAATGAAAGTGGAGAAGAAGGTAACGCAGTCAAAAGGCCATACTTGTATTCCCGGTACTGGACTGGAACTAGCTTGCAAGTGAGGCTAATGCGGGGAGTCTTTTCAAATGCAAATGACATTAATCTCTTTTTAATAATATTCCACTGCATAAGCCTCCTTTACAAGCTAGTTCCAGTCCAATACCGAGAATAAGAACACGGCCTATTCTTGCCTATGCCATCAGAGGTTGCTCCGTTCAATAAAAACAATGTTCAAATGTTTTTGATAGCGGTAAATGCACTTAGCTACACCTAGCTACTAGTTCATAAGCATGCCATTTAAACTGAAATAAACAGATATATCAGCTAAACATAATAGGCTTAAAACTCCCAACTGACGAGAGGCACACCAGTTGGCTATTTACAAGCATGACTGTGGAGCTGAACAAGGGTCTACCGAGGAACAACTTTCAGTTCGGTTTAGTGGTCAGAGCGGGACTTGAACCCGCGACCTCCGGATTTCAAGTCCGGCGCCCTAACCACTCACCCACGCTGCCTCCTCAAAGCCGTCTTCTGAAACTTTCATGGCGTTAACTAATTGAACCTCTGTTGGATGTTTTTCACTCAGGTGGATGATTCAGATCGTGAAATGGTCGTGACTGTGGCTACTGTGTTGGGATCATTCTCCATCCTTGGTCTTCTAATCTGTGCTATCGTCGCCATTGTTATCAAGTAAGACACGTGATTCGTCAGGATAATTTATAACGCTAATACTAGGAGGCTAGCTGTGTAACGTGCGCATACGCATAAAAAGATCACTTCTCAATGAAGCTTCACTCTAAGGCCTTAAGAGCAAGCATGTTTTTCTCTACAACCTCGAATTAGTTAATAATTAGCTCTTATTAAACGGGCAGGAGGTCTGTATGGGAGAATCTTGACCGAGGTCGTGGGTACAGACCGAACGCAGTGAGGTCTGTACAAACGACGGAGGTCAAGATTCTCCCATACAGACCGATTTAGCTCGGTTAATAAGATATTTATTATATGGCAAACAAGAACAATTTAATTCTTTGAATGTACTAACAGACATTTTGGTTGCGAACAGCGATGAGCTGGACTTAATTCTGCCAAAGTTTGCTCGTCCTCTTTGCTTTTTTCTCATCAGGTTTTTTGGCACGCCATGAATAAATATTGTTAGAAGAAAATTGTCAATAGTTTTGCATTCTAGGTTGCAACTTTTTCTCCGCAAAATGTAATCGATCTAGATGCCGGTCTAGATGGGAAAATCTAGACCGCTTTCAATATCGATTTCAGCCAATCAAATTCGTGAATTCGGTAGTTCCCAGTCCTTGTGAGACATAGCCATATAATAAATTAGATAAATTAGCAGGTTTAGAAACGTTTCATCACAGTTACTACTAAGCTCACAGTATTTTTTTTCAGCCACACTGGAATTTTTGTAGTGACGATCATTTTAAGGTGACTAAGCGGAAAGAATAGTGATATAGAAAACAAGGTTTTGCATTCAACACTCTATCATTAACTCATACAGAATTCGAAGACAGAATTTCGCAAAAAATAGAAACATGTTTTAAACCATGATACTTCTTCTTCAATTTGACAATAGCATTGGAGTTTCATTATAAGGCTTACAACATGTGGGAAGAAGATCGTATGTAGTTTACAGGAATATAATTAGTATCCTTCTACTAATAGTGCCTTGTCAATTGCTTCAAGTGTGGAGCTTTTCTCAATTCTTACTGAAATACCTAGGTTAAAGTAAAACACTAACCGCTCAATTTGCCATACTCCTGTTTTTCAGTTATCACCAGAAAGACCACATGCGTATTGCTTTGAACATTGACGTCGCTCTTCTGCTGAGCCAGTTGGTTTTCTTTATAGGATTGTCGACAGGCGATAACATGGTGAGAAAGTTCGATTGCTTCTTTTACCTATCAAAAGTGTGAACAATCGCGAGGGGTGACGGGTATAGATTTCTTTACATCCTTCGTTTTCAATCTACAAGCCAAAAGTTACAGGCACGTCACTATAACCAATTTGACGCCTTGCGTACTGGATGGCACGGCATAGCATAGCCATAGCCATAGCGTGGCATAGCGTGGCATAGCGTGGCACTGCGTGGCATAGCAGCTGTATTCGCCGGTCAGCTTCCACACAGTGGTAGAGTGTCTGAGATTATGCCAAAAGGCTTCAGCCCCGACTCCTGTTGCGAGAGATGGAGAACTAGGACCATTTGTTGAGTATCTGATACAGTTACTCACGCGTAAAATTACTATCCAAAATTTCTACTGTCACGTCTGAGGTGTAGTTAGTAACTTTAATCTAATTTGATCTCTCCTCAGTTCTTCTCCAAGCCCAAAACTTGTGACGTCGTCAATCCATTCGTTCATTTTTTTGAGCTGGCGGCTCTAACTTGGTTGCTGATGGAGGCATTGTACTACTACTCGACCCTGAAACCGCTGTTCAACGAGAAAAACACCGTACCCATTGTGTTTTACTTCGCTGTGGGGTGGGGTGAGTCAGTGCAACTATCCCATATATTTTCATGCCAGACGCATCATTATAAACAGTGAACGTGTGAATATTTTGTGGAAGAGTTGCTTTGTGTTTGGAACCTAGCCTTACTTCTGTGAGAAACCTTACGCTTTATGTTATGCTCATATGAGAAATCTTCGGAAGACACTAATTGCCAATAAGGTTTTTCAATTTTTTGAAGGTCTTTAACATTTATATACTGCCCTTTAAATGATTTATCACGTAGTTGCTTGATGGAGATATCTATGTAGAAGCTGATTAGTTTATTAGAAGTTATTTTTTGTCTTTTTCATATTTCTCAAACCATCAGGTTTACCCGTAGCGTTTGCAAGCGCATGCGCAGAGTATGCCTATCCTCACTTTGGCACTCCAGAGAAGAGCGAGTTGTAAGTTGATAGACAGCTTACTGTTAACAAACAAATAAAAGAACGAACAAAGAAACAAAGAACCAAATAAACATACAAACATGCAAATAAACAAACAAACAAGCAAAGCAAACAGACAAATAAACAGACAAACATGTAAAAAAGAAACAAACAAAACAAACAAACAAACATGCAAACAAACAAGCTAACGAAGAAAAACAAACAGCAACACTGAACGAAAACAACCAAACAAATCAATAAACAAACAGGACACTAGATTCTCTAAGGAAACAAATGTGCATGCACACGGTAACCAGACATTTAAATTGTAAATGTTCCTCATGTAGCAGGAGCATGCAGTTTAATATATTGGTTTGTTCAAAGATTTTTTTAAATAATGACTTCAAAACTGCATTTTCCTGATCTTTAACCATAATTAGTCATGACGAGAGCTTTCTAGTTGTGGTTCACATAAATACCGTGAACAAAATATGTTTAATTTGGGTATCGTCATGCATTTTGGGTGTAATAAAATTGTAATAAATAATAATATGATTTTCTTTTGTTTGATTGGCCACAGCTGCTGGATGTTTATTGGTGGAGGTGAGGCCTGGTTCTTTGGAGGACCTGTCTTGATTCTTGTACTGGTAGGTCCATAGATTCTGATCAAAAACTTTTTTTCGTTATGATACCAAGAAGACAGAGTAAAGAAATCATCAACCAGAGGATATTGTCTTGAAGTCACCAGTGGTAGAGACCCCATGAGGTCCGATCCAAGATCTTAGCTGTCTCGTACAATTACCTCCAGAATTAGGTTTTGATGTATTTTTAATCATATACTTTGCTGCCCATCATTTCTACAGACGTATTCGGTTATTTTGGGCAGCTAGTGCCCAATTGAAATTTCCTTTTTCCCGAGTGGTACAAATAAATGTTGTTTTTGTAGCTATTTATTGTATTGTCTGATCAATGCGATATTTTTTTAGCTGAATCTTCTCGCCCGAGTATTTGTCGTGAAAGAGATTGTTTGCTGGCAGGATGACCCCGATGATATCAGGATCGAAAGGGCCAAGTAAGTAGTAATAAGTTAATAATAACAACAGAAGATCAATAAATTATACGAATCTCATTATTTTCTTTTGTAGTATACCTAGCTATCCGGAGCTACCTTGTATTCCGTGAATCTTGGAAAACTTACCCGAAATTTCCTTCTCTCCCTCATCATCCAAGCATACAGTCTGTGTTATTCTTTCCTATAATCTTAGTCATCTTGGTTTTCTACTATAGTAATCCATCAGCCTGATGTCTCTTTAAGTTCGTAGAATTTATTTATTGAAACGAGGAGCACAATTTGCACAGTTTAGGCCACTACTGTAAGCTAATTTCTTTGATCTGATTTGGCAGAACTCGTCTGATGACGTCATCAGCGATGATGGCGGTGATTGTGTTGACGTGGCTGTTTGGTGTCCTGGCAGTGAATCACACCGAGGACAAAATCTATCACTACATCTTCATAGTGTTCTACACATTCCAGGTTAGCAGACTTCTCGTGAAAAGACGTCTTCTTAGATTGGGTGGAGAAGGGAAGGGTGGTAGAACTCTTAAAGAAGTATTACGTAGCCTATAAAGATGACCTGTGTTTATAATAATCCTGATGAATTTTATTTACGTTGAAGGGTCTTCTTGTCCTGCTCTTCTACTGCATTCGCAACCAAGAGGTAAGCTATGTTTTTGTTTGGCACATAAGTCCCCAGAGATTTTCGGGAGCGGGTAGCTAACATCATCTTTTAATTTCACAGAGCAATGTAATGATTTTTTGTGGTAGAGACCAAGA